TGAAGGTCTCATTTCCCTTCAAATTCCTTTCCCTTCATCCATATCATGTTTACTTTCAACATTGGACCCACATGTATATAATCTTTTAGCAGCTTTTATCTTAAGTAATAATATAAAAATTTAGACAATATGAACGTAAATATATGTAAATATATTTTCTTACACTCCTTTTGTATGTAGATTTATAAGAATTGATCTTTTATTTTATAGATTAAATATTTTCTATTCCTAAATTCCTTTCCAGCCGATAATTTTATGTTTTTACCCGTTTCCCTGTTTTTGACCCTGGGCCACAATGCACAAACCGTGCGGGCCAATTAAAAAAAAAAAAAAAGGTTAGGTTACATAACTCACGTAAAAAACAATTTATACTGTCTAGAACTTAGAAGCTAGTCAAGTAGTGAGTCCGCGAAATAAGGGTTTTTTAAAAACTTAAAGTTAAAATGAGTACAACCAGTCCGATTTGAGGTCCGTTTAATACTGAATATTACAAGTATTCTATTATATTTATATCCTATTCTTAAAGGCCTACGTGACCGTTGTGCTGACACATTGTTCTCACGCTCTACAAGGAAACGTTACTTAGTAAGAACTAAGAGTGGTTCGTAAATCATGTAAGTGTGGTTCGTAAATCATGTAACAGCATTTCGGCTATTGAAATATAAAGGATCTTTGTACTACTATGTTGCAATGGTTTTTTGTTTATATAAAATATAATTATCCTATGGTGGTGACACACGGGATTATATAACTCCTCCCTCCTTAAGAGCGAAATTATCAGGGGATTGCACATGCAAATTCTGATTATTTCGCCACTGCAACATATTAATAATCTTATTTTTTATAAAAAACACAACAATTAGCAAAATACAATAAAAGAGTGCCTAAACTAATGCTTTTCACTTTCACTGAATTGCCCATTTCACTATCACTATCTCTGTTAAGTTGTTACAGCATGTAAGACATGTGTTGCCGGTCACTGAGCTCCATTCCTTGTAAGTTTACTGGATTCTGATTTTCCTTAGAGTTCACTGTTGACTGTAACTCCAGCAGCTTAATGGATGGGATACGTTCTGATGACATATTTTCTGTATATGAACGCTGATGATGTAATTGGATGTCATTGATGTTGAGATCGCAGGGTTAATCTCTTCTATAATTACTGTATTCTGGTCACAGTTGGATGGGTTTTCCTTGAAGGTCATCAGCTCCTCAATGCATGTCGTTTCAGGATACGGTGCCCCTGTTTTCTTGTGTGCAGAGATAATAAATTTTCCTCAGAGACTTGTTTGCAAGGCTGTATAAGCGGTAAGTATGTTACACCTTTCACCAGGATATAGGGATATTTAGGAATGATTATTCAGGTTAGGTTTTTAGGGTCATGAAAGATAGGTAAGGGATACATTTTATTATAACTATAAGTTGAATTGGTTATTAAAGCTACCTCTAATACAAAAGTTATTTTCCTGTCTATCATGTATGATTTAACATTAATCGTATCTTCTAATTTAACTAAATTATCCCAAGTGGGTGGATACATAAGATTTTCTGACTGTGATATATAAATTAAAATCTGTAATAAATGTGTAAAACATTGGTTGTGGTGAAAGCCAAAGCAATTTCTAATTCGCTTATTTTTTATATAAAGCGTTCTAAAATTACTTACAAAAAGATTATATAAACTTAAAACATATGTAGAGTATACTGCATTATTTTCTTTAGTACTTATGTCTTTTAACATTTTTTTTTCTACACGTTTTAGTCTTTCGTCCATAATTTTTGAGTTATTGTGTAATATTTCTGATGAATTAATGAGTCCATCTAACATTTTGGAAACAACTGTTAAACGCTTGTTTGTTGAAATTTTGTTGATTACCTAATTGATTAATTTACTGTTCATATCGTTGAGCATCTTCCTGATCTAAGTTTCCAGTTATCATTTTAATAATAGAGCCTAGAGGATTCAATATTCCTCTTCGTACTCGGTGTGAAGGGATAATTTGCCTAATCTTTTTAGTAGTTATTCTTTCCAAATACTCTACTTGTTCCCTTATTCCTAAAATCTTTAAACTAAGGCTTATCATCAGTTACTATCTTACTAAAATTACTATATTTCCTTTTGTTTTATTATAATTCCATCAGTAGGCCATTTAAATCTAATACCTTAAAAATAAGCCAGTTATCCTGATGGATGAAGGCTGTTCCCTGTCTTACGGATCCCTGGATTGTTTTCAACCTTTTGAAGTTAAAAATGGCCCAAGCTGGGGCTCGTGAGTGTCATCATGATCACTAAGCACCACCTTTGAAGGTCGTTTTATGTTTTTAATTTTTACCTTTTTGTGTTTACCTCTAATTGTAATAGGGATGGTGTTTCTTTCAGGTTTTCCTGTAACTATGGCCTTTTCAAAACAAGGTTTGTCCTTACTTTTGCGAGTGTTTATTAATTTTGTGAAAATTGTTTTCCCTTCTGGCAACGGGACGTCGGATTCGCCACCGCGTTTTTCTCTAGATTTTCCCTTAAACGTTAACATTTTATCAGATATGATTTTGTATAAAACTTTTATTCTTTTGGCGTGATCTTTAATTAATTTTTGCAAGTATCGTTTCTCGAAGTCTATATTGAATGCGTTTTCAGAATCTACATGGTCAAACACTACTTCAAACGGTGTTAAAGTTGTTACAGTATGAATCGCATTATTATATGCCATGATAAGTGATATAATAGATGCGGCATCGGTACATTGTTGTTCGTATTTTGTCAGTCTGTAAATTTCAATTAAGGTGGAATGAAAACGTTCAACTATTCCCATTGAATTAGGGTTCCTAGGTGTGCCGATATGTATTTGGATTTTATAGAGTGACATCAATTCTTTAAATAAATCGTTGTTGAATTCAGGACCAGGGTCGCAGCTTATTTTCTTAGGTATGCCTAAAAAAAAAAAGTATTTTATTAGTGCGCGGATAACGTCAGGTATGCCTTTACTAGGAATTTCAATTGCCTGTAATAGTTTGCTAAAAGCGTCAACTAAGGTGAGGTATCTTTTTCCTTCGATACTAAATATATCTATAAATAATTCCTGGGATGGGGCATCTTGCGTTTGAGTTAACTGTAAATATGGTTTCAAAGGCTTTCGGTCATATTTCATTTGTTTACAGGCTTCACAAGAATTAATTACTGCTGATATAGTTTCTTTCATGTTATTCCAAAAGAAGTGTCGCCTGATGCGTGTAAAAGTTTCTTGAATACCTCTGTGACAGGTTTTTCCGAGATGAAATTTCAGAATAACGGCTTTCTGTTTATTTTCATCGTCAATAAAAACGATTCTTTCCGTACACTCATAAAATTGAATTGATCCACCTTTAAAAAGCCTAATTACCATGTTGCTGAATTGTTTGCGATGTTCCGTATTTCCGAAATATATAAAATATTTCTTTTTGGGTTTTATGTATTCTTTCAGGAATTGTTTGATTAAATAATTACACAATTACTCAATAATTTTAGCTCACAGAATTTGATGTGAATCTAAACTTATACTTACTTTAGGGGTTGCAGAATTTCATGCACTAACCTACTTACTTCTATGTTTCTTTAATTTACTTATTACAATTTACGTTTATATATGAATTTAACTCTAACAAAGTCTTAAAACTATCCTTAAGATGAGAGATGTCGATCTCAAAATAACAAAAGAAAAGTGGAGAGGGCTGGATTTGAAAGGTGAAAAGGTGACTTACCAGTACATCGCTGCCTCAACACTCGCACAAAACACCCTTAACGCTTTTGGATTTGCGTTCTTGACAAATTTATTTGTTCTTTTGAATAGCCGTTTTTAGCAATCGCGACGTAGTTTCCCCTTTTTAGGTAAGCAGAATTTGATGCTCGAACCGATAATTGAGAAGTACGTGCAGCTAGAGCGACTATCCTGTCCTCAGCGCCAGTCAAGTAGTGAGTCCGCGAAATAAGGGTTTTTTAAAAACTTAAAGTTAAAATGAGTACAACCAGTCCGATTTGAGGTCCGTTTAATACTAAATATTACAAGTATTCTATTATATTTATATCCTATTCTTAAAGGCCTACGTGACCGTTGTGCTGACACATTGTTCTCACGCTCTACAAGGAAACGTTACTTAGTAAGAACTAAGAGTGGTTCGTAAATCATGTAAGTGTGGTTCGTAAATCATGTAACAGCATTTCGGCTATTGAAATATAAAGGATCTTTGTACTACTATGTTGCAATGGTTTTTTGTTTATATAAAATATAATTATCCTATGGTGGTGACACACGGGATTATATAACTAGCTACTAGCTAGTTCGCATAACCGCGGAACCGCCACGCCGCTTTTTATTCCGCACAGACTCTTCAAATAATTATCTGATAGATACTAAAATAATTTTTTCAGTAAAAGATATATGAATCTATTGTATTTATTTATTTTCTAAGAGAAAAACAAGAATTTGCATTTTGAATAATATTATCTACGTTTTGGTTTTATATTATCTGCGTGCTCTATAGACCTAAATTTTGAAACAAAACCGCGATTTTTGTATATTTTGTCAAGTAAAGTAGCAGAAAACGACAAAGTTTTTATTACCGACTTAAATTTTAATTTATTTTTGCTGTCATTTTGCACAATAAATTTTATAAAATAGTATAATTTAATTATGCAACATAATACCAAGTGAATCATGAAACAGACTAAAAGAGGGGCGGCGGCGCGACGTTTGCTAGCGCAGCCCTGCTTGGTTCGCTTTGCTAATCGAAACATCAAGACATTAAATTACATCAACTAGAACAAGTGACTTCGCCCCTTTTGAAAGTATTTTTATAAAAACAAGAAGAAAGTGTTATTTAATTATACTAATTATAAGCCGTGGGCTTCAAATTGTTACCACATTATGCAGACTTAATAACCACGTTAATATGTGTAGGCTAAATGTTTATAATTTAATTTCTACTCGGATTACAGTCCCGTGATTTTATGTCAAATTACGCTCAATATGGATGATTCTTATATCATAGCAAATTTTTATGACTTGTGTCGACTATGTTTGGTTAAAAGTGGACTTACACTGTCGATTTTTGGCAATACTCCTGACGATGAAGATAACAAATCACTAAACTCGAAAATCTCAGAATGCTTGGATCTTCAGGTTTGTATCTAATTTTATTATACAACTTAAATACAGGTTTTATTTGTATCTAACTAACCTACTACATTTATTTGTTTTAGTTGGATCCCAATGATGGCCTTCCTACAAGAATTTGCTATAAATGTTTATTTAAAGTTGACACATGCTCTAAGTTTAAATCATTGTGTTTAGAAAGTGAAGTCAGATTAAAACATATAACTAATCAAGTTAATGAACTCAATACCTCAAATTCATCTGAATTTAACTATGTGAATGCAGAGCATAAGCAACAGACTGAAAATTATATTGTAGAAGATAGTGTTGTAATGGTAGTGGATCCAAGTCTTGACTATGATTCTTCTGAGGAATCAGAAAATGTTGAACAAGGAGAAACAGATGTTGTAGAACAAGACAACATCCCAGAGGTGGAACACGTTCAAGAATCTTACTTTAAAAATGTTTCAATGTGTCAGTATTGTGATCAAGCATTTATATCCCGAGAAAAATGCAAGGATCATGAAGAAAACTTTCATGACCCTAACCGCCCCTATAAGTGTATAGAGTGTAGTATAGTTTTTGCAGAAAGAAACTTGTTTGTTGGCCACATTAAAACTGTTCATGGAAGTGATAAGCCATATAATTGCCCAGAATGTGATAAATGCTTTGGCCGCCGCTCTGATTTGAGAAAACATTCAATTGTCCATACTGGTATTAGGCCATATCAGTGTCAATACTGTTTAAAAAGTTTTTCTCGTAATACAAACTTGAGCAAACACTTGAGAATTCATGCAGGTCATAAACCTCATGTATGTCCAAAGTGTCCTCGAAGTTTTGTGGCAAAAGGAGATTTACAGCGACATATTTTAATTCACTCTGGAACAAAACCCTATGCCTGCCAGAACTGTCCATTAACTTTCGGTAGAAAAGATAAACTAGTAAAACATGAACTAAGACATGTAGGAGTAACATCATCTCATGGGAATGAAGAAAATAATGATATGGTGGTTAGTGTAAATCCATATAGCAATTTGATGTCTTCCCCAAACGAACATTTGAATTCTAATGACTTTGAGCTTCCTAGAGTTCCTGATCATATTGCTGGAGAAGGCAGTTTTTCAAATCATTTACAAAAGGCTCCATCAATGTCTAACAAACAATTCCAAAGTTCACCTACTAAACAAAAGTCTTCTAATAGTAAAAATAAGCCTAAAAATATAAAATGTCATCAATGCCCTAAAAGGTTTTCTTCTCTTGATGCCTACAAGACTCATGTATCTATCTCACACATTGGATCACGAGTTTTCCAATGTAAAATTTGTTTTAAAAAATTTGCTAGAAAAAGAGAACTAGACCGGCATGCCTCTGTCCATACAACAGGGAAACTTTTTAACTGCAGTCAGTGTGATAAACAGTTTACAAGAAAGGACAGACTTGATAGGCATGAGCAAACTCATGACTGTTTAGTGGTGAATATGCCTTGCATTGAGTGTGGTGCAACATTTGAAAAGAAACCTGATTTAGTAGCACATATTAAATCTCATTTTACAGATAATTTTGATGATAAAGTAACAGAAACTCAAATTAAAAAGAAAATGAACAAGATTTTCCAATGGAAGAAAATAATATGTATGATCTAGAGACATGAGTTTTTTTAAAACAAAATACGTATTTATTTTTATATTTAACACTACATTTACAATACCTAAGATTAACTTTCATATATTCAGACATTAATTTTATGTTTTAATTCTTATTTAAATGATAATGTTATAATTGTATTTAATTGTAAAACAAAAAATATTATGTCTCTTTGTAGTAATAGCACCCATTATCATCTTATGAATAACTTCGTCCACACAGCTATTAATTCTTAAATATAACCATTATTAATATTGTAAATAATTATGTATTTCAACTGTAACATTGATTAAGTGAATACAAATTTATAATCACTATTTATGAAAAAATTGATATTGTTAAACATTTATCATAACCATTTATTACTTTTTCTGGACATAGTGTTATTATTTATTTATTGTTTACCGATTATGATATACTGATTTTATTATCAATTACAATAATCATATGGTCAATTGTAAAACCTAAATCTAGGACAATTTACATCTCCTAAATAACATAGCACTACTACACCAATAACAAGAATAAAATTTCTATAGTATATTCCAAAATTGTTGCTTACATTGATAATATATTAGAGGTAAATAACATTATATCTAAACCAAATACTTAAAATATTTTATTTATCCAGCTAAGGGATTTGCATGTATTGTAACTGATGTTATTCTGGCTTCACTTAAAGGTTTAAAGTTTTTAGGATTGATAGGCATCTTTTCTAAGTCATCAAGAGCTTCAAAACCATCAATGACCCTGAAACAAAAAGTGAAGTATACAAATATTATGTTTGCTGACTACTTTTCTATTCTGTTTCCTAAGCGATTTCTGGAGTTTGATCATAGAAAGCCATAGTTATCTGGATCAAAGTTAACTTAAAAATAAGGTTGATGGAAAATTACCTTCCAAAAAGGGTATATTTTAAATCCAAATGTGGTTGTTCTCCATATGTAATGAAAAATTGGCTACCATTTGTATTTGGTCCATTATTTGCCATACTAACCATTCCTCGAGCATTATGCTGAAAGAAAATATTTTATTATATATTATCCCCTTGAAACAATTCAATTGACACACAATTCACTTTGTATTTTGACACTAAAATAAGAGTTTATCTTGCTCAAATATGTCTAAGATTTCAGACCTTTGTTCTTTAATATATATGACAAATAATGAAAACTTGATGCTTTTAAGTCATACCTTTAATTCTTCTTTAAATTCATCCTCAAATTTTCTACCCCATATAGATGTACCCCCTTTACCAGTACCTGTAGGGTCACCAGTTTGTACAATAAAGCCCTGAGAAATAAAAAGAAACGTGATAACAAATCGTTCATATTTCTTTTAATTGATGAACAAACAGCACTCATTTTAACAAACCTTAATGTTTCTATGAAATAGGCAACCATTATAATAATCACTAGCACATAAAGCTAGAAAATTTTCACAAGCCTTGGGACATTGTTCACAAAATAGTTCAATTTTAAGGTCGCCGACATCACTGTGCAATGTAACAGACATTTTTTAAATTTAAATAAATAATATTATAAAAGAAGTTTTATCTGATCATAGAGTAGGTTTAATATTGAGATTTATGATAACTTAATAGTTGATTTCTGTCATGTGTCAACGGTGACACATAACTAAATGCATTTTTCAGGATTTTATGGCGGTACGCAGTACGAGACGTTTAAGCAGTTTAATTTTCGGACACTAGATTTTATTTATTATTTTTAAACGTGTAAATTTTCAATTGTTCATGATCTAATTTTATTCAAATCGTTCCCACGTTATGCACAATACAATCAATATGAAAGAACCAAAAAAATAGTTTTTATTTGTAAGGCGTCCTAAGCGTAGGAGAATGAAAATATGTATAGTGTTAGATTAAGGGGAAAAAACGGTTTATCTCGATTTCCGGAAAATTTATGTGAAAAATTCAAAAAACCAAGTTTTTGGTTTTTAATTTTTATCTTTTACAAATTTATTTTTTTCCCACGAAATTTGGTGAAAACTTACCTTTTTATGTCTTTAATACGCTGTAATTTATTTGATTTGAAATAATAATTTTTTCACCTTATTTTGAATTAATATCGAAAAAGCACCCTAATTTTCAATCGAAAATTCACCCGTCAAAATATCAGCTTTTTTCAAAAAGTTGGTGTGCTTTCAGTTCGTTGAAATCTCTACTTTCCTATGGTAATAAAAAATATATATTACTATAGTAAATCTTCTCAGAAAATGCAAAAAATCGTATGCAGTAGATGACGCCCAGACCCGTCATCCCCTTCCCGACCTCAGATCGCCCGTAAGTTATTTTTATAATATTCTCCTCCCTTTCCAATTGGTTTCATCCTACTATATTTTTTTTCACTTTTAATTTTTTTTAAAGGCTATCTACCCTGGTCTAGATCCTATTAGGCTACTTTCTGAAAGTTGGCGGCGAGTTATAATACGTTACTAATTAGTCCATTGAATGTTACAATTTGAGGGCCAAACTGAACATTTGATAGAGGACGCAATTTTATTTATGGGACATGAAGGGGGAGTCAATACAAGCTTAACATCAAGTTTATTGGGTTGGCACCCTTGTCCCTCGGCCGCCATGTTGGAAAAAGGGGTGAAAACACGTTTATGGCTATGTCACCGTAAAATTGTAATAACCGTTAGATTGTAATCTATCTCGCGAGATTGTAAACTGTCGAAAGATTGTGAACCTCAACGACCGACAATAATACGTTAAATTACAATCTACCGAATAATAATACGTTAAATTGTAAGGAGTACGCTGAGGTTCACAATCTTTCGACAGTTTATATATATAGATAGATTACAAACTAACGGTATTTACAATTTTACGTTAACACCTATATCTCCTAAACTATCTATCGTACATAAAATTTGTAAAGACAAGCAATGTCGGGCGTCGCTATTTATCCACTGCAAATTGCAATAGGAAAACTCGCCCAGGCATCAAGGAGTGACTTTTAGGACTCCCACACAAAACTGCGATGCGATGCGAATTTGCATCGCAGGAATTTGCGATGCGAATTTCTGCGATACGATTTAGTGCGACGAACCGTTTGGTAGGGCGACCATTCCTTCGTAGTCGGACGTGTTTTTAGGACGCGTAAGATGGATCGCAAAAAGATAATTGCACTTCTGTTATTGTTAAATAGATATAAAAGAAAAAGAAGATTCTAGGTTCATCCATTTATTACGATTATGAACTCTGATGCAAACTTTCACAGACGCTCTTCCACGCATCTTGCTCAATAAATTTATTTTTATAATGTTCATCACTTGTGTCCCAAAGGACGGGACGCTCCTCAATTAAAAATATTAAAAATCCATATCATATTCCGCAATTTTTTATAAACAAAGAAGGCGGCGGAGGCGCCGCGCGTCTTTCTCTAAAGTTATCTCAGAGCGGACTAAAATGGCGTCACCAAGGATGACGTAATATCGCAAGAATGTGCGATGCGAAGCAGATCGGAACTTCTTGCGGTGCGTTCGTGCGAATTCGCAAATATTTGCGATGCGATGCGAATTCGCAGTTTTGTGTGGGAGCCCTTAATCCGCAGCAATTTTCCTTTCGAATTATTCGGTTTCTTATTTTGATACATCTTGTGACATCCAACGTCAAAATGTATTATTATCACATAGTTTACACCTCTTCCATATAGCTAGGGAGCTGGCGAGCAAAATATCTATAAGTATAATATGATTTGCTCATGTAGATCCATTTAATAGCGAAAATTATACGATACGGAATATTAAGTACCACGTCTGCCACCATGGTAACGCTGCGTTGTCAATTGACACCCCCTTAAAAATGTATAAAAAACAGGTATACTATATCATTTGCTGCAATTTTTTTGTATTCATGGGGTTCTAATCAATCGAATGGACCCAATTACAACTTTTTTTACATCTACCTTCTGTGATAATGCAGACACCTGGATTAAAAATTTTATTCGTTATATAAATGGTATTGACCATTAACCCCAGAGGCAGACACGAGCAAATGATTTAGTATCGATTTTTTACACATTTAAACCACTGTAGCTCAAAAACGCAGCAACGTTCGACCTTAATTTATAAAGAAAATTTTGTCATATTGATCTGAACTTTAATTCCTATAAATATGAAATATGAGCAAATCATATACATGTAGTAGTTAGTACAATCGTAGTTAAATGCTCCCTAGCTAATAGTTATGATTTGTCATTTTACTTTAATTGCCTTTAATACTTAAAAATAAAACAAAAGGATGATAGACTGTTATAGACAAAACTAATTAGAAAAATAAAAGGTCTTTGCATAGAACCAAGAATGGTGAATAAAACTTCATACTATGAGTAATAAATAGAATATGAATTGTGATGTGTACGGGAATATAATATTTTATTTATATGATAAAACAGCTGACTCGACGTGCGATGGCGCATAGTTACTTGAGTAACGATATTCAATACTTGACATTTTCGTCTTATGTCAATATTAAATATTTTGTTAATGTAAAACATACAAAATTTACACATATGTTTTATTTAAAAAATACAATATAGTTCCATAAACCTCTACGAAAGTTCTAGCAATATTATTCTACACCACCAGCTCTTTCATTTTGCCCCGCGTGAGGTTCATATATATTCTCATCCATTCCCATATCTCCATAGTTTCCTAGCAATCTCTGTCCTGTTGGATCAAATGGTGATTTTGGGTAACAAGCTGCTTTATACCGCTTTCCCATAACTTCTATTTCGTATATACCTTCGCTTAAATAATCTAATGTTACTTTATTTCCTTTATTCGTAACGTAACCAACGCCAATGGGTTTGTCTAAGTGGAATGCGTAATCTCCTCTTCTCAAGTAGCCTACCACCTCTCCATTTCTGTATATTGCTTCTTGACCGTATATCGGAATCTGAAAAATATTTATGAACAAGTATTTAAAGGAAAAAAATTCCTTCCATGCCGGCCTTAAAAGCCACTTGCGAGCTTTCAGGCAATGTGAGTGCCCATAGGCCATCACTTAACGTTTTCCTCTAGTTACATAAAAAAATAAGGAAAATTCTATTCTATATTTCATTATTATTAGCAACATCAGGAAAATTATCTAATAATCGCTATCATGCTCTTATTATTATCCTATAGGTAAGTTTGGCGACAATTTATAAGATCATAATTTACTACATAAAAGCTGGGCCGTAACTATGATATAACAATGTAAGCTTGTTGAATATGCCTCTTGTAACAGTTTCAGAAGCTATTCCCTGTGTACGTTCCTGGCTGGTATTAGAATTGGTACGTTCCTGTCTTGAGAGAAGTCGTATTGATGCGGAAATATGTACCTAAATACGTTTCGATAGTAATGAGTGCGCAGCAAAAAGTGACTTAAACTTTGTCTTCACATCCAATGATGATCTTTTAAATACATTTTGATATTTTATTTAAAGTCGTACCTTCTCATCAAGAGTAAAGTAAGCGTATTTCTTAGTGACTCCCTCAACTTTTGCTTTTGTGACAAATTCGTTGCCGATGTAATCCCCATTCTTGCGACAAGTGAAGGCAAGATTAGCTTCCACAGGGTTATCATCTGTCCGTAGATCTGTGTTCCATAAATGGTAGCCTAAAAGAAAACGTAGTAAAAGTCATGTAATTATATTTTCTCAATGTGAATTTCTATTCAATATCTTCTGAATTCTCATCTACATTTTAAAAATAACTTTAAGACTTAGACGTTAGAAAAACAAATAAGTTTGCGAATTATTATGTAAATATTTGTTACTACCGACAGTTAGTGTTCTCTATTTTAAACTACTTAAAAATCATTGTACAAGTAGCGCCACGAAACTCTAGCGCTGACCGTTATTGCGCAGAAGTAATAAATAAGGTACCTGAGGGGGGTAGCGGAATGAAGAGTTTCGATTAGCTCTCCAGTCGCATTCCGTCCCCCGCGCGACAGTACACATGCGCAGCAATCCCCTTCACGTATCGGCCAGCGCTAGACTTGCGTGCCGCAGCCTATACATATAGAAACTACAATTAAAAGTATGGACAAAAAACAAATGGAATGTCTTATAGCATCGCTATACCAAAGTTCCAAAAGTTGTCGAAGTTTACCAGTAAGACCACACTAGAATAATTACAGAAAGTGGAACGAAATCCGTCGAAATCAGTTTAAATGTAAAGCTGGCAGAATTTACTGTAGAAAATAAGAAACTTTTATCGGAGATCGTTCTTTAAAAGGACGAAGTAAACATTCCTTGAAAAAAGAGAAGAAAAGAAATTTAGTTTTTTTGGTATAAATGAAAAATAACAATTAGAACTGATTACACACATAATCAAGTTGGTAAAAAATACAACTGGATTATCTTTGGAGTTAAGCTCAGAAAGAGTGACTAACGAACCTCGCCCTGTCCTTCTCAATCTTTGATAACATTTGGAGAAATAACGAAGTACTGAAAATTGGCAGTGATAAAGGGAAAATATGCCATATTAAAGCTAGTTTGCTCATTATATACCAGAATAAGCGAGTGAAATTAAAAACTAAAGACTCTCAGAATCTCCGAAGGAATTCCAATATCGAGCAACAACTAAAAAATAAATTTACTCGATTCTAATACACAAAAACAAGCTCTTGGTGAATGTCATGTTCCTCGTAAAATATTAGAACCGAGGCGTAAGTCAAGGCAATCTTTTTTTACCTATAACATTTGTAACAGTTCTATAGATTATTACGAAAAACATATGTAATGTTTTTCATAATAATAGGAGAAGAAAAGGGGGATAGAAATCAACGGTCAGTGTCTAAGCAACGTCTAAGCGTCTAACGAATTGGATTGCGCAAGTAAAAGCATTGGTCTAGAATTGAACATTTAAAAAACTAAAATTATGACTAACAGCAAAGAACTTTTCGTTAATGACACGTTGAATATGTCCTGAACTATTATTACCTTGGGAAGCAAATATCGTTTAATGATTACTAAGATGTACATGAAATAATCAGAATAATAAACGTATATAATAAATGGGCATTAAAAGATGTTCTGACCTTAAGTTGAGTATAAAAAGAAGTGAACAGTGGACACATGCATAGTTCCATGTCTTTTATATGGATGCCAAAAGTGGATTCTTAATTAAGAGCTAATGAAGTCTATTGGAGTATGCTTTGGAGCGTTCTATTCTTCGGAGAGAGTGAAAAACAGCGTAAGACAATGCCTAACAAAAATAACAGATGATGAACAGTATAATACAAATAACTTCAAGTTGAAATAGGCCGGTCACACTGCCCGCTAAAATCTCCTTACTTGACCATTACCATTTCCTTAACCCCGTAAGCAAAAAAAGGAATGGACGCCCACCAGAATCTGAATGTTGGGAATATGAAATAAAAGTTTGGAAACTAGCAAAGATGAGAGATAAGTGGGAAAATTTGGAGATTACTAGTATTGAATATACGATATATTGAATATAATAATAACATAAAACCAATGTGATAAAACCAATGAACTCCGCTAAATTTAATTTAATTTATTAATCATCTTAAATTGCACAAACATGCTTATACGTTCCACATATTTATTCCCTTATTTTATTTATTTACCCATATTCACAAGCGCACGATCTAGTTTATTGTGGTAATAAAACCTGCTAACCTTTTTCCATACTAAGTGAAGTAAGCGCTCGCCATCCGCCATTAGTAAGACCAGACGCTGTTCTTAAGGCCCTATAAACTTGTATAGCATTCGACGACGGTATATGTAACTCCCAACCCAATTCACCTGACCACGTAACACGCAATGCTCTGCAAGTGTAGCTCTTATTCTCAGAAGAATAAGGTGCTTTTGTTACGTGGAGACTGCGGTGGGTGTTAACTGGGAACGCATCGTTTGAAAGCCCCGAGTTTGTGTAGCGTTGAAGAATACGTTGGCTGGAAGTTAATATTAATTTATATTAATTATTTCAAATAAACATATTATACCTTCTTATGACTTACTATCTTCTTCACTATTTGTATATCGAAACTGTGCTGTATTTTTTATTGTTTGTATATAACAAAATATGGATGTTCATAATGGGCCATGTGCCTTTATGTCCCTTATTATTAGCTTACTTACAATTTTATAGTAAGAATAAACAAATTTGACTTTGACAAAAATCTGGATAAACGTGTCCACGTGATCAGGAGTAACCCGATATTGTAGTATGAAATTGTATCGTAACGACGTTAGCTCTCGCTTCTTCTCATGTCAAGTCAAAGTCAAAATTCATGTATTCAGTCACGTGATCACATTGAATTGTCAACTCTACCGCCTGTTCGGAATCGCGACCAGCACACAAGGAGAATGTCAAGAAGCACGGGCTAGTTGTTTTTGATCGTCTTAAGTTATTTACAATGCTTATATTAGTTACAATTAAATTAAACAGCTGTAGCAAATTATTTTTAATTCCAAGCTTCCTTATCTTCTAGGTTATCCATGAGCATTGTTATACAAATTTGTCTAAGGCCCAGAAAGTATAAACAAAAACCTTACCTGTGAGGACCCTGTATACCCAAAATACAAATTTGTTTAGTGACATCTGTGATGGTAGCTCGCAATTTGTATTTCTGGATGACTCGTCGTAAATGTGCGAGTGTGTGGTTCGCACTAAACCCGCTAGTTACTACATAGTATCCACGACCCTGAAATATTATAAAAGATAGATTAGAAAATGTAAAACTTAGTATAAATAAAAAAGGGTGCGTGTACTTCTGTACGCGCGTAAGAAGTTATACTTCTTTGGCATAATTAAAAATAGTTTTTGATTGCATGCAGATAATTAATTACAATTAAATAATCAGACTGGAAAAGGAGTCATTATAGTCAATAAAGTTCAGTTTACATTTGAAAAATTAAATAAATAAATATTAATTATTATAATCTTACATTAAGTGTAACATAAATTCTATTATTATTCGAATGTTATTTTTAAATTATGTCCAATGCCGTAGCATCTTCCGTGGGCAACTTCATTCTGTTAATTTTGTGTCACGGTGCGCGCGCATTCTATCATTTCACTCTCATCAATTTTTCATAACGCGCCTAAAGAAGTATAACTTCAAAAATTTGACTATTTATTCAATTATTTAGGTGATGAAGTCGTAAATTATGTAGGTATACTAAATATAAATGCATATTAATTTACAGGACTTACTTTGAAAATTGGTTCGTGCAATTGTCCGCTCCCTCCGTCAATCACACACACGGTCAAGTCCGCCTCGACACCGCCTTTCTCGTTTAACATTAAAGAGTACATTACCCTGAAATTTAGTAGTATCATAAAATAAAAGTTTATAAACGTTTGATATAAAAAATACTACGATAAAATACAGTAAATTTTAAACTACAAGTTACAACAGTGATATTTCTCAACAATTTTCATGGCAATATCCTATATAGACTCGGAATCGAGACTTATGCCCTTTCTCTACTGCACCTGTGAATAATAATTTATAACCTCTTGGTTACTTGGATATACTTGGACCGATAAAACACCGCGTTCCGATCTAGCAAGTTATCGGATCGATAAAAACCGGATGCCGGAGTAGTGGAGAAGTACGTAAGTACTGTTGTGAGTTTCTAAATCGGATCGGTAATTAACGTTTGCCGGACCGGAGCAGTGGAGAAACGGCCTTAGCGTGAACTTGACTCCTGAAGGAATGCTTAAAAATAATAACACACGTAGAGATTTCTTTGTGCCTTTCCTGTCCACGACGAATTTCCATTTCACGAATACATTTTTCTTCGTGTGTAGTAAACCTGCTAGGTACACATTCAAACCTTATCTACTAGGATATCTATGGAGGTGGTTTCATACCTGTTGTCATTCTTCATCTTAGCGGTGAATGCCAAACCAGCCGTTCGTTCAGCGTCTGGTCCGGTCAAATAAAATTTACCATAGTATGATAAATTGAACAGTGCTGCTGCATTGCGACACGCATGGGCTTCTTTACCGATCTACAAATAATATTGAGGGTTAACTACCAAATGTGTATAGTATTAAAGCATTTAAAAATTTAATATTTGTAATCTGTGTCAACTTCAGGCGTTATTATTTAAGCGTCTATATAAAACAAAGCAATATATAGTCTTTGGTCTATACTTTCTGGTTTATATTTTATTGCTCTGCGGAAAAAGAATTGCTTCTGTTTAATTAAAAATTAAAATCATTCGTTTTAATAAAGATGTTTCAAAAATGTTGATTTCTCTGGTTAGAAAGTAATTCTTTCGCAAAAATATTAAAATAATTACAATCACGTATAGCAATCCGTTTTTTAAAACTCATTAGTATTGCTTTTTGCTCTACATATTACAATATTAAAAAATATTCGACTTATATTTTGAAACTAAAGTAAAGTTAATCCAATTTTTACGGTAATATTTTGTAAAATATATTTTTGATATATAAATGTTTAGATTCGATTATTACTTACTACGTCATGATATTTGGAGAATCCAAACGTGTATTCTCCTTTCAGAATTTCTTCATACTTCTGGTCCACATTTCGTGGGAAGTCGTGAGCACCACCCCAATCGTATTGCTGCACTCTGACCTGAAACAGGATTTATGGCTTGATAAGAAATAAAATCATAATTATACGAAAATACCATTTAATGATAATGTGCTACTGGAAATAATTGTATGACGTTCATGCAATTAAGATATGTATTTGCTTTTTGCAACTACTTTAAATTAAAAATGGTTTTGATCGGTTTTAGTATTTCTTTTTATATAGAACAGGGGGCAAACGGGCAGGAGGCTAACCTGATGTTAAGTGGTACCGCCGCCCATGGACACTGCCAGAGGTCTCGCTAGTGCGTTGTGCATTGCCGGCATTTTAAGAATTGGTACTCTCTTTTTTTGACAGTCCCTAAGTCGAATTCGAAGTCTTTGAGCAGTGTTAGGATAGTAACAGTGCCACTTTAGACGCTGAGGTAATGATCCAATTGATTTTTTTAAACGCTCATATAATACTTCCTCATACTTCCATTCCATACATTATGTGAAAACTAGCATTTCTTTATGAAGACATAAAAGGCTGAAAATAACACGGAACATTGATTTATACCTTTTCTCCCTGTAAAAAGAAAGCTGGTCTCTCCCAACCAGCCCTAGACTGCATGATTGCCCCATCTTCCACCAGCTCTTGATGTAAGGCATCATGACTGGAGTCCCTTCCAGCTAGGAACTCATCATTGGGAAAGACGATTGAGTAGTTCTTCACATATGCTTCGAAGCTACTCTCGCGAGCCCAATGCGCTCGGGACATTTGCGCGGGTGTAAAACGGCGTATGTCAAAGGCAAACATGTTGTAATTTGGTCTGAAATAATCATTAATAAATAATATTTTTTATCATATTAAATAAAATATAAAAAAATCCCGAATCACGGGAAAACTGCTCCGTATTGACTGACGCCTTCACATTGAAACCGGGATCTCATACGAATCCCGAAATAAACATAATACAGTGAAACGTCTTTAAAACGTCATTCTTTACAACGACAAACTCTCTATAACGTCAAAATAGTTACTAGTAGTAAATTAGTTTGGTTTAACACAAAGCCCATATATTAATTCACTCTTTATAATGCAACAGCCATTCTTTATAACGAAGTAATGTTTCATATTTAGACATCAACATACTTAAGTGTAATTGTTGTTATAATCAGCTTACAAAAGTAAACTTTTGAGGTGCCGTAATTTCTAAGAAAGACACCTGAGGTCATAAACAACCGTCTCGCCTTTGTTATAGTTAATTGCATTAACACGTGTGCTATTATTCTTCGAGTACATTGCCTGTATTACATTTTTGTCTCAGTCACTAAACGCACCACCGTCACCTATCGTTGTTATCAGTGGTAAACAAACTTTGAAACTGTCAAGATGGCCAGTAAAAGAAATGCGTTATGTGTTTAGAATAATTACCTATTGATAGTAATAAAATTAGAAAATAATTTCTACTACTCTATTCTATTTGTACTTGGTTAAATTTGTTTATTTCTTCTATGCATTCCCTATAACGAAGATTCTCTATAACGAAAAAAATGCACGGTCCCTTGAAATTCGTTATAAAGACTTACACTGTATATAGAAATATACGACTAAAATTTACGCCGCCCATGCGATATTTTTAACAAAAAAAATATTTATTTAAAAATCGCACAAATTACCTTCCCTTAACAATCCATTCGGCTAATTGTATAGCACATCCAGCAGAGAACATCATACCAGCTGAATTATAACCGCAGTTGTGGTATAGACCTGTATTGAATTCATAAAAAAATATTTTTGTCTTAGATAAATAATTCATACATAACAGATTTAAAAAAAAATGCGTAATAATTATAGATTTACTCAATGCTCCAAAGTTTTAAAAACCAACATAATAGTATTTTTAAGCTTCTACAAAATCTTTTACTTTTCTTTCTACAAAAGCAAATTCTTTGTTTATTATCTATATTTTATTGCACAATATGAAAACGATTTACTTTTTTTTTTAATTCCATAGTGCAATGAGCGACCATACTACTACTAAGCGATTTCATCCAGACAGCCCTATTTATAAGGATAATAGGGATAAGTTAACATCAATCAATTGGAAAGCACTAAATCAAGAATATAAACGCAAAATTTTATTAATTGACCTAAATTCATCTTAAATGTGTTTTTACTCATAAAGGTCAAAAATAAAGTATAGAATGGACTAACTCTTTAGTTTATGAATCGTGTCATCTGTAAAATTTAATTATTTATTTTAATGACTTACCATAAACATTAGGATCTTCCCCAATTACAGGTTTGTGGTCAGGTGTGAATGACTCCGGTCCACAGACTGTACTCTTGATCCCAATGGTTGCCAATTTTGGGCAAAGGGAAGCTGCACTTTGCATATGCACATTGAATATATCCCAGTTTAGGTCGTAGAGGTGAAATTGTAGGTTATCGGGAAGCTGGAAATTTTACAGTATTTTTTAAAGAGGGCCTCAGATTTCTGTATCTGTGTTTGATCATTTGTTTTTTCTAATAGGCAAGTCAGATCACTTGCCGGAGTCATTTCCACACGGTGTTTTACCTCACCCATGAAATTACAAAAAGAAACATGGAAACATACTCGTGAGTAGAACATATTTTAATTTTAAGTATTCTTGAAATTTAAATATTTTAGTCTGTTATTTTCTTATAACCGTAAACTCACATAAGCGAAAATTATTTGCAAGAAAAATCATAAAATGTAACAACGCAAAAAATTATTATTTAGAACAAAAAATAAAATTGCTCCACCCTAATGTTATCTCATCATAAAAATAATGGTATAAAATTGCATTATAAAGATATATGAACTAAAGACAGAAGGGAAATGTATTCAGCATCACTTACTTGATCCATTATTAAAGGATTGCTTTCATATCCACCGATTTGGCAGGTCTCCCCCTGTACTTTGATATACAAAGCGACATCGTGGTCTCTTACATTGGGTGCGTTTCGAATTTCTGGTATACTTTCTGATACCACGTACGCGTGCTTAAATGGAATGAGAGGCAATGCTGGTATTCCAGCGAACCTCGCAATACGAGGACCCCACGCTCCTATAAAGCGAAGCGACGACTTTGTTTTATATCAAATATTTTGATGATAAGAGAATATTATAACCAGACTTTTTATTTAAAAAACAAAATTATTAAAAGAAAAATAATGACTATAACGTATGATAGTTAGATATTTTAAAGGCATTTTTATATATTGATAATTAAATTGATATAAGAACTAGAAAATGCAATAATCTTAATTCCGTTATTTGCATTTAATTGATTTAATGAAATTTCAAAGAAATAATCCACATTGAAAAATATGCAACACGGTTTCATATTATAATTCGTATATTGCTTTAGAATTTAGATATTATTTATTTGAACAAATTAATTAATACATACCTCCACAATTGACAACGCATTTCGTTTTAATGAATCCATTTTCCGTATGAACACCAGTGACTTCCTTATTTCCCAATAAGTTGTGTTTATAGAAGATGTCATGGACGGGGCATTCTTCATACACCTAATAAAGTCAAAGTCAAAATCATTTATTCATATAGGTAACACAATGTACACTTATGAACGTCAAAAAAGAAATTCATATTAAATGCTTCAAATTTTACAATTACTAATCTTACTGCCAGTTCTCAAATCAAGGGCGTAGAACGGAAGAAAATAACTGGCAATAAACTCTCCGCCACTCTTTTCATAAAATTAGCGAGCGAAAAGTATAGACCTTAGGCCCTTTCTCCACTGCTCATGTCCGGCGTCGGGTACCGGAATGAGTCATGAGACAAATATCGGAAGGCCGGATTGCGCTTCTCCACTATATCCGATCCGACAATAATCGATACTTGTATAGTTATCATGCAACACTTATATTAACTAACACCCATATACTATATATACGTTATATATATAAAGGGTTTTTCAACAAGAACTTTGTTTTCTAAAACAAAATAAAACAAAGAACTGAGAGGAAAATGAATAAAATTTTTATTGTATTACAAAGAGAAAAGTTTGGCAATTATGAATGAAAAATGATATCTGGCAAATGTCCACCACGACCACGCTGACAGATGTTGATTCTTTCATCAAAATTTTTAATCACTTTTTGGCAAAATGGAGGGTCTATTTCGTTAATGACATCACGGATTTTGAGTTTTAAGGCTGCAATCGATTCGATTGGCTCCGTATAGACTCTGTCTTTAACATAGCCCCACAAAAAATAATCCAGTGGTGTTAAATCACACGATCTGGCTGGCCACTTAACAGCTGAATTTCGCGAAATTATGCGCTCGGGAAATTTGGTTTGCAATAAATTGATCGTTTCATTGGCTGTGTGACATGTGGCACCGTCCTGTTGAAACCACATTTCAGTGATATCCATGTCATCAATAATAGGCCAAAATTTAGTGGTTAACATCTCGCGATACCGTGATCCATTGACTGTTACCGCATTTCCAGCCTCATCTTCGAAAAAAACGGCCCAATCACGCCTCCAGACCACATAGTGCACCACACAGTAACACGTTGAGTATGCAAAGCCTTCTCAATAATTGCTTTAGGATTTTCAGAAGCCCAAATGCGACAATTTTGCTTGTTGACGTACCCTGACAAATGAAAATGGGCTTCGTCTGAAAAAATGATTTTTTCAGAAAAACCAGCAGGTTGTTCCTGAATGAACTGAGCGAATCTGCGGCGATTTGAATGGTCGATCAGCTTTAATTCCTGCACTAGTTGAATCTTGTAAGGCTTCAAAGCCAAATCCTTTCGCAAAATTCGCCATGTTGTGCTTTTGGATAACCCCAATTGTTGAGAACGTCGTGAAATTGACAAATTTTGATCTTCTTCAACACTGTGGCTCACGGCGGCGATGTTTTCTGTTGAACGACCCGGTCGAACACGTGTTGGTGTTGGCACATTTTGTACCGAGCCTGTCGACTCAAATTTCGCGACCAAATTCTTAACAGCGGTCTCAGAAGGACGATTATGCTAGCCGAAAATATCACGAATTTTACGAAATGTAACTTTAACAGAACCACCATTTTTATAGTGGATTTGAATTATTTTAATGCGATTTTCGAGCGAAATTGAATTCATTGTAATAATTGCCAAAGCACCTGCTACGAATACCGCCAAAAACTAAATGTCAAAACTATCACGTTCTCGGTGTTGCCACAATTGAAAAACAAACTTCTTGTTGAAATACCCTGTACTATATATAACGTATATACGTTATTTTATTAATAAAACGTTCTAAATTCTGAATATTTTATTGCCCTGGCAAGTTTATTACTTTTTTTATATTGTCTATCTCAAAATATTATAATCTACTTAATAAATAGTTCACTGATACTATAGTATAAAAATATAAATAAATAGCAACATAATTTGGTTTGGTCCAGGTTATCCAGATTCTTTCAAATTAAAGAAACTATAAATAAACCTGTGAATAATAATTTATAACCTCTTGGATACTTGGATATACTTGGACCGATAAAACACCGCGTTCCGATCTAGCAAGTTATCGGATCGTTAAAAACCGGATACCGGAGTAGTGGAGAAGTACGTAAGTACTGTTGTGAGTTTCTAAATCGGATCGGTAATTAACGTTTGCCGGACCGGAGCAGTGGAGAAACGGCCTTAGACTGGACTAATTTTTTGCAAGAGTTTTTTATTCGTTAGTAATATAAAGTTAGACCTTTGTTGTCGCAGATATAAGAAATCTAATATTGTTTCGAATGTGTTTTAGTTGAATTTCCTCCTAGAATAAAAATTCAATCAAATTTTATTTCACAACCAAAATCTATAAATGAATTTAATCTAGCGGTAGACACGGTCTTTGCCTCACACTGGATGTGCCTTGATTTTCCTAGCATTCTTATTTATCTATTTCATGTACAGACTATGAAAAAGCAATTGTTTGATTTATATTACTCCTTAGTATTAAATTCGTTCCTACGTCTGTTTATTTATTGTCCGAATAATACCTTTCCTCCGTTCGCCTTAGCCGCTTTAAGTAGCACATTGCACACCATTGTAGGATCAATAGTGCCATCTTCAGGGGAATAAAGACCCATTTCAAATACAGAAGTGTCGAGAAGTGGAAACAACTTCTGGGCTTCTTTTGGTTCAAGGATTTCACTCTTGATGCCAAATGCTTTTCCCAAGGTGTGCAAACGAAGATATTCTTGTGTACGGGCCTGAAAAGATACATAATATTTAAAATTGCGGATATTAATTCAATACTATGAGTAGTTTAGTATATCTAAGCGTATATAGAAAATAATTAGGTTATAGATATAGAATAGTTTTTATTTTTTTTATTTTATATATGTATATAAAAAAATACATTAAAGGTCATATATACAGTTAACACAAAAACAAATACAGTTTTTAAGTAAAACATCTCGTGCACCTCTTAAAGTATGACAAGGTAGTAGAAACCAAAAAATGAGCTCCTGGTAGTTATGTGCAAATCAAAGATTATACAAATCGTTTACACAGAGGCGTTTAATAGTTTTGCAGTATCAACATGAGCTGCTGGTTGTACTCATCATAAATCATAGATTCAATATGCTTTATTTTACTTTGCATTTCAACGACGAAAGGAAACAACATAAAATGCACAGTTATCCAACTGGAGCATGCATAATGGTGTAACGAAAATAGACCAGAATTTCTTTCGCTATTATAATGATATGTCCCTTGGCTGTAATAGTCTATATTTGTTCCAAACATATTTTAAGAAATCGTTAATTCACACACGTTAATTCTAGGTTCAAACCGTAACCATCATCAAAATTTCTTATTTTCACATAGCGCGATTCCGCTAGTAACCTAACCTTTGAAGCAATTTTCATATCATACAAATATTAAACACGTCAATGATTGTACGTGTAATCAATCATACGTACCTGTGTACGACGTAACTTATGCTGAACGATGACCTCGCTTGACAAAAATAACTCTTGATAAAGGCCTACGTATAGCACGTATTTATTGGGTAAGTCTCATATTTCCACAAATTAATATATATTTTTATTTACACAAAAAAGGTACCTCCGATTTATGGTTGTTTTACCTATATCCAGAGTAGCCTCCTTCAGGAGAAATCACAAACAAAAGCGATTAATCTTACCTTACTTCTAGAAATAAAAAGCCCTCCATTGTTGATCCATCCAGCGTATTCGCCGGTTTCTCCTTCCAGACTCTGGTACACGTTTCGCGAATCTTTTAACAGCTTTATCTCCAAATCACTGGGCCGTAGGGACCATACGAGACCTGTGCATATCAGTTCAGCCTTCTTACTCTTAGAGTAAGATTCAGAGTCGAAACGTAGAGCTAAGTGCGACTCACATATGTCAACGACGTATTGGAATTAGACATATGGGAGTCAAAGTTCACCTGGGTCTTACTCTACCCTTTGTGTCAACCCCTAAAAAAACTGGAGTCAAGCTCTGCGCTAATACTTGACTCTGAATCTTATGTCTACTCTGATACTTATTTGTCTATTTCCATCGAAGTTAACATACAACTTCGATGAAAAGAGACAGTTTGATGAAATACTGCAATGTTATTGGACTGATTTATTTTACATAGATAGGTATAATCAACCCATACCAACCAATGCTTATAAAACGCGAGGGAGAGTTTCATATTTCAAATGATCAAATTGTAAATCTCGACGAGTGTATTCTTTTTTTAAATTTAAAAATATTTAAAGCATTACCTTTATTTAAAACACGAAACATAGGAGAAAGGTAACGTAGGCATCGTTTACATATTTGTCATTTACACATTTCCTTCTTCTTTAAAGTGCGACATTAATTCATGTATAGGTGTATCGGTTGTATGCCTCCCTATATGTTTTATGAGTAAAAATAATGAAAACCTATGTATAGAACTAGAAAATGCTAGATGACTATCAAACTACCTACTACAATGTAGTATTAGGTTGACAGACACCTGCACGTTTGACAGTATCCGTACCAGCTGTATGCCACGTTGTACCGCTTGTTATCTTCGCTCGCTCCAGCAGTACGGCATTCACTCCCCTTTTTGACAGCTGGTATAATATATTGCATCCAGCTACACCGCCACCTATGACAATACTTTTTTTATATGTGGCAAGACAGGCCTTTACCATAATATATAACCGACTTCATAAAAAGAGAGGTTATTTTACGTGTGGTGTTTTTTTGTAAATTCAATTAATGCACAACATATAAATATAGAACTTGTTTAGATTTCGTATTTGTCTCTGAGTGTATCTTGGCCGTATTAGTGAGATAGGGGAAATTTGGCGCTTGCATTTGACAAAGCAACTTCAAAACTTAAACAGAACTAATCTCAAAACAATGATAGGGACAATTACGGGCCATTGTCTCCTTAATAAACATATTTATGTCCTAGGCGCAACAGACAGCGCCATGTGCAGAGGCTGTGGCTAAACAACGTACAGAAATCCTCGCAACAGTGAGGTCCCTTCGTGAAGCCTGCGAAGTGCCCAGGAAGCTTTGGTGCTTTTGGAAGGATTTAGGCTGGCTTAGGTAGCCAGGACTTACAACGCACTTAGACGCTCAGTACAACGGACCTACTGAGCGTCTAAGTGCGGAAACTGAGTCCACAAACCATAACCATCCACTCAGCTCATTAGTTTAGCACAACTACTTGACACACGTCCTCATGTTTATTGAGGAAGAAAGATATGTTTCTTTCGGAACGTACAGGCTTCTGTACTATGCGACTTCAGGTGCCTTGTTACTAAGGCAAATCCCGCATTTAAAATTAAACTTAATGTCTTTTTGTTTAGTGATCATTACTCGCCGATCTATAAGCCTGCAGTCTATATATCTGTAGTATTTACCTTCCACATAAAGTAGGGTGCGTAACTTAAAAGTACATAACTTACCAACTATTACAACATCCGCCGAAGACACTACCTCCTTATTAGCGTATGATCTTTGACAAATTCCATTTCGCTTCAACATCAACTTTGGATGTCTACTTTGTAGCACTCTCAACATTTTAATGGTGTTTTTCAACTGTTTATTTAATTTAGAAATTTATTTAATTATTTTTACTTAAAAAACTTATAAATTATTCTCAACTAGAGTAAATAATGTAATGATGAGTAAACAATGGTCAGAACACTTTTATATTTAAATTAAAATTGAACACGTATCAATTAGCTAAAATAATTGTTTATAAAGGGGCACTTGCGTTAATAATTAATTTGTGAGCTTGCGTGGTACATTTTCAAATGTTTGCACTAATGTAATATGATTATTTACTTTGAATGAACTTTTATCTCATTTAACCTATGATACAAGAGTAAACTGGGTTTATTTTGTTGTTTTGATGAAAGTCACTTCTCCTTATGTCATTACCTACCTTAGTGATACGGACAAAATATTTAACAGCTTTTTCGAGATATGATTAAAATTTAAAAATGGAACTGTCGTTCAAATTTCCCACAAAAATCCCGTGATTCTACGCTTGATTTTTTTAAATACTTAGACAAAAATTCGTCGATGGTCGAAGTAATTTACATTAAAAAAATATTTATCATAAACAACATTATACCATTTCTTGTTATCGAGGTTCGTGTCAAAAGGTCTTAATTAATCGTCATTGTGATATATACTTACTATGGCAACATTTATTGCAAACATTGTAAAGTTTTATCAAGATTTTTTTAAATTATTATTTTCCATTGAAAATTAACCATAACACAAAGGTATTGTCTAATTCGTATCTCAAGACACCATCTCCTGTCCAATATATTAAACTTCTTACAGAATAAATGGTTTGACAGCTCTTGAAACTGAATTTAAGTTTGATTGACGTTCAAGATTATGGGCCAAACTATTGAAGACGCTGTAGCGACATTTACAATCACTGCGATGACTTCATACATTGAAAAGAGTTAACGAAGCTGTTACCGCTAAGAATATATTTAACTTATCTACCTTAGCCACTGGGGCGTTCGGTGCGGCCAGTATTAATACTGGTCAAATATCTTCTAGGTCGGAGAACGACCAGCCTTCCTCCACAACCATTCGAATATTCCAAAAAAAAATGGTGCGTGTACTTATGTACGCGCGTAAGAAGTTATACTTCTTTGGCTTTCTTTATTTTTTTTTAATATTTAATAATTAATAATAAATATTTAGCGTTAATAATTTAAAAATATTTAATATTTAGTATATTATTCAATTATTAATTAATATCTAATAATTATTATTTATTATATTATTAATTCAATTTAATAACTAGGTATGTTTCATAACCTTTTAACTAAGTAACAATAGGTCTTTGTGAAAGAGCATTGCTAAATTTCTTTGAAAAAATAATTAAAACTCCTTTATTTGTTTAAAAGGTACTACAAATGTCAGTATGGTCATTCAAAATTCTTGGCATAGCTGCTAACGTCATGCATATTCTATTTCTTTTTACTTGTAGATTGTCTTATTCCCATCTCGCTCGCGCACGCTCGGCGCCCATACTGATAATTTTGTGTCACGGTGCGCGCGCATCGTAAAATTTCACTCTCATAAATTTTTCATAACGCGCCTAAAGAGGTATAACTTCAATAAAGAATGGGAAAATAACAGGAACAGCCCCTGTTCAAATGTGTGTATATACAACTCAACTGCAATGTATTAAAAATAATATATATATGAGATGTTTTATCATTTTATTATATATAAACACTTATTCTTAATTTTATTATTACATATATACTGTTTTATTTATACAATAAAAAAATCGGCTAAAGCACGTTTACAATGTAAAGATTATAGAGCACTTAATCTAACGTCAAACTACCTAAAACTCTGGTTGAATGTTTCGTAATTCATACAATGTAACGTTTCCATATAACAACGTCAGAAAATACGTACTTCAGCGCTTTATAAAGTTTACACTGTATTTGCAAAGACAAATGTTATTAGAACAAAAAAAATATTAACTATTTGAGGCTTATAGTTCTACCTTTTGTTAAATAGCCAATGCTTACGTCCATACGTTGTTTGTGGCGGGGTGTAAAAACATTTTTACACAATAATTATGTATGTCTCTTGCGCATGAGGAATGCGAATTTTAAAACTACTTACAAATAGTTCACGTTCGCTTAACTTAATTTTTTAAATCATTACGATTTTTCAAAACTCTAAAATTATGTTTTCTTAACTAAAATAAAATTTTGGTCAAATATAATATTTTTGAAATATATACATACATTTTGAAATTTATATTTTAATGGAAAAATATTTTATTATAGCAATCAGTCAATGGCTTACTGAAGGTTGTAAAAATAAAATATTTCTAAATAGATTATATGTTTCATGAAAAATCATTTCAAATACTGAGTAAAGCCCATAATCGCCAAATGAAAAAAATATATAAACTATATATATAATAAATCAATTTAACATGGGGTTGATATTTTTAAATAATTAAAAAATGCTTTTGTTTTGCTAACTAATAAATATTTTTTAAGAAAGAGATGAACGCTACCTTATTAGAGGACTTGACATCTATTAATTTTCGAAATATTAGCCATAAATATAAGACTGTTTCGTTTGTCAAAATATATTTGATCTATGATGAAGGCGATGTTAAACAAAAGAATACATTTGTGCACTCCGTTTGATTGTGATTGGTCGACAGCATCTCAACGCGTCGACACGAGATACGTCATAGAACACGCTTTTGACCCATCACGAACGAACGAAACGTTTCGTCTTTCTGTTATTCATTTTAGTTTAATAAAAACAGTTTTATTAATGAAGTAGTCGACTTATTTAACATTTCTTTACTTTGGCAAACATGTGTTAAATTAAATACTTAATCTATGGCAGTTTAAAATAGTAGTAGCCGAATAAAAATCTATGTTATTTTTGTTCAAGTGATGTTTAAAATCTGTAACAAAATGATTTTATTATTATCTATTAACATAAAAAGTGAATGTTATTATGTGTTATGTTATACATAGTTGTGTGAATGTTTGTATGTTTTTTTTAGTTTCGCATTTAAATAGTTGATACAGGTGTATTTTAAGCACTTTTTGTTCGCCATGGTTCGACTTTATATTATGAATTAAGCATTCTATTAACGCTTGGCTTTACGAGCCAAGTCCACAGATATTAGATTACTTAAATAAAACACGATAAAGTCTTACTCTGTTCTATAGACTAAAGTCTGTAGACAGACAAAAATATAAGGAAGACTATTGACGAAAAAGCGTGAATACCTGCAGAATTTTGCAGCGAAAGCAGGCCTATTTAATAATTACTTAAGAATAAAGAACTTAGTTAAAAAAACTTTTGTCGGTGTGACGTTCCAATTTTAAATTCGGCTTGTCTTTAAGCGATTATGAACTTTTTTAAGACTAATTAATGTTTATTATTTATTGTCACAACTTTGACAATTTACATAAGGAAACAAGTAGACCACGATACTCACAATAGTTCTCGTCAGACATGATGCGGACTGGCAACGCGTGGTGGAGTGAGAGCTAAGCGATGTTGCCGCGCCGCGTGATCTCCCGCCGCTGCTGCTGCAGCCGCTTCTAACTGCGCTCGTAATGCTACTAACTCGCGCGTACGTTGGAATATTGGGTCCTATTAACAAAATATTATATTAATGTTCTGCTACTATAGTGGAATAAAACAAACTTAGGGTTACTAGGACGATACCGTAGCATATGTAATAATATTGAGACACATTTATATAAAATAAATCCGCCTGCACCGTTTTAACTAAAGAGTCACTTGTCTCTTTTCATCAAAGCGTAAACACAATTTGATAGAAAGAGATGAAACAGTAATTTAGTAGAATAGTGCTGACAGATTTTTTTTTATGAATAACGGGGTATGTGTCCGTGTTGTGTATAAACTCAGATATCATATATACTATACATAGCAAACATTTAGAGAATTGGTATCAATATTGAGTGATGTCTTGCCCCTTTTTTGATAATTTTATATAGATATATTTATTCATTCACTCACTGACTCACTCACTCACACATTTGCACCCACACACGTACTCATTCAGTAACATTTTTTACGGCTTTCGTCGTGGTCGTTCGGCTGGTGACCTTCTTGTATACCTTACACATAGATGGGCAGAGGCAATTGAGTCCAAGGGGGAGGCGCTAGCGGTTAGTTTGGACATAGCGAAAGCCTTCGATCGGGTGTGGCACAGAGCACTGCTCTCGAAGCTTCCAGCCTATGGGCTACCCGAGAAATTATGCGATTGGATCTCCAGCTTTCTGGCCGATCGGAGCATCAAGGTCGTCATCGACGGAGCATGTTCCGACCTTAAACCCGTGAACGCGGGGGTCCCACAAGGCTGTGTTCTATCCCCGACCCTATTTCTATGTTGCAACTTAGCAACAGTCATTGCTATGCGGATGACAGCACTGGGGATACTCTTTACACTGGCCGGGCAGGTATTTCTCAGTTGTTGATGAGTACCGGAACAAACATGTGTTTGAAGTCGAAACTCTACTACGTGGAGTCTCAGACTGAGGCAGACAAAACCTAGTCCAATTTAACCCCAAGAAGACACAAGTTTGCGCGTTTTCCGCTAAAAAAACACCCTTAATTGTCGCTACTCCTCTTTTCGAAAACACTCTTCTGAAAGCCAAAGCCAGCATTGGAATACTTGGCGTTGACATATCGAACGACGTTCAGTTTCGCGGTCACTTGAAGGGAAAGGCTAAATTAGCCTCCAAAAAGGTTGGTATGCTCAGCAGCAGTTGAAAAATCAAAAACAAAAATAAATAAAATAAAAGATGTAATTAAATTATATATAAATATATTTTAAGGAATTTATAATTAAGTTTGTTATGGAAGAGCTGGGAACCCTGACTCAGGTATTTTTTTACTTAAAAGGGTTCCCAAATATTACACATATATGCATATGTTATTATATATTATATTGTTATTATATATTACATTGTTATTATTATTTATTTGTTTATATCAGTATGTTATGTTATATATGAAAAAAACCTACCTGTTGCCTCATAGTAGGATTCCATCTGCAGTATAAAGCTTTCCACAGCTTGATGATCCTCAGAGATGCAACTGGTACCAGCACTGTTTGCGGCCTTGAATAGGGCGAAGGTGGCGTGTTAGGGCCAAAGGCGCTCGGACCCCAATATAAGGGATTCAGGTAGAGGTCCTGACGACTGTTTATGTAGGACCAGAGGGAGACTGTTTTGGCCTTAAGTTCTGAAAATTATTTTTGATGAAAATAAATATGTATGTCGAAAAATTGGTTGATTGGAGAGTTGTTTTTGTAAACTTTTATAAAAGCTTAACTTCCTTCTTTATAAAAATTATTTTAATTTTAACTAATCTTATCTGTCTCTTTTAATCACATCTTATACATAACTTAACAGAAAGAGACGAAATACTGCAATTATCATATTTTATTATTATATTATTTTGAATAATAACCATTTAATTAAAAATATATATATTCTTTTAAGGGATTTGGCGTAAAGTATTTTAATGTTACTTTTCGAATATTCTAAAGTAAATATAACGGAATATTGCGTTGTAGGGAAATTAATACACAAAACATTGAAATAATACGTAGCACTCTTGATTTGTTGGTGAAAAGTCTATAGAGTCTAGATTTTCTGTAACATTATAACAGAAAGAGCGCAATTTATTAATGTACATCAAGTGAAATATAAAGATTATTCTTAAAGAGGTCGCTATATTTCCAAAATACACGAAATCTACGCGAGCTGTCGTTCCACAACTGAGAGTTATTTAATGAACTCTCCGCCACTCTTTTTAATCGCCAAGTTTTGAGTCATACAAATTGTTTGACCTGGAGCAAATCAATCCCAAGGATTTGAATCATTTAAATAAAAAAGCTTTTATAATTTACGTTTAATGAGAGTTTTTAAATAATTTAGTGATAATTCTCTAATTTCGCTTGGGAGATTTTTATAAAAACGAATACAATTTAACCACCACCATTAAATAAAATAACCTGCAACCAAAACGAAAAAGAATAAAACCCACTGAAGTATTTCCGAACCAATACGTATTTGGGTCCTTCAAGAATATAGCGTACCAATTCTTAAAGAGCCAGAAGTTAAAGAAATTCTTGTTCTATAAAAAAAGCTAGTATAATATAATAGGTTTAAGAATAACTTTATTTCTCATAAGAATTGAAAATTCACTTACTGAGAAACACATATTTAAAACTAAGATTAAAAATTAGAGCGCACAGATGTAGGTACATATATAAAATAAGAAAACAGAACAGCACCAAAAATGTGGGTAGACATAAAAAACTTGGTCAGTCAACCAAGCGAAACACGGATGTTAGAATTTAATTTTTTTCTAGATGTGGCATTGATGGCATAGTCTGATATAACAAGTTTATATTGATTATTTTATTATTTTTCATAAGACTATTTTATTTTTAGTTTATTCCTATATTTATATATTTAGGGTATGTACAAGGTTTATAAAACATTTTTACAAATTAAAATCACCTATAGGCAGATTTTGGTCAATATCAAATCAAATACAATTCTTTAACACCGTGAGTGGTGTTAGTTTAAAGTTCTTAAACATTATACATTTCAAGTGTTATCGCATTCTTGTCGATATATATATATATATATATATATATATATATAAATATACATATTATATTTTGATCACTTATTTGTATGTAATTAATGTGTAAGTTTTTAGAAGCTTTTTAAATCGGGCATAATTTTGTTCTGCTTTTATAACTGATGGTAACTTATTATAAATTGTAACACCCTCATACTCCAAACTTCTTTTTCCATAGTTAGTTCTAGGAGGGCGGGTCACCAAGTAACTAGCACGTCTTAAGTTAATGTTTCGTGTTTGTTGTTTGGTTAAAAATTTTATATTAGAATTAATTTCCCTATTTAATATTTTGCGTATTAGAATACAAGTGTAATATATGTACGTTTGTTTAATGTTCATTAATTTTGTTTCCTCGTATATCCTTTCAGTAGGCGTCCGAAATTTATAGTTAAATAAGTTTTTAATCAATCTATTCAGAGTTCTTTGGATAGGATCCAAATTACTCTTCGCTGCAGTACCCCAGACCTCAATGAGGTAGTCGACATGCGGCTTAGCCAGAGAATTATAGATCAGATACCGCACTTTTTGAGGGAGACAATTTGTTATGTTTCGCAGTGCCCCTGTGAGTGGTGTTAGTTTAAGTTTAATTTTTTCTAGATGTGGCTTCCAAGTTAGGTTACTATCCAAAATAAGTCCGAGATATTTTTCTTTAGGTTTTCGTTCAAGTATTTTTCCGTCTATTTTAAGTTCGAAATTATTATTTATTTTATTATTTTTTGCTGCAAAAATAACATAATTTGTTTTTGTAATATTAATAGTTAAAAGATTTGACTGAAACCACTCATTTAACAGATTAAGATCATTTTGAGCGTCGGCTATTAGAGCTTCGATCGAGTTTCCAAAGTAAAAGAGACTTGTGTCGTCTGCATAAAGGGATATGTCACCTTTGAGACCCAAATCACTGATACTGTTAATATAAATGAGGAACATGAGGGGGCCTAATATTGATCCCTGGGGAACGCCAAAATTCAGGATACAGGGATTGCTTTCATATTCACCTATTTTTACTATGTATTTGTTTTCGGTTCTCCATATATGATTTAAAAATTTCAAGTGCTTTGCCTGTAACACCGGTAAGTTTTAGTTTTTGTAATAATTTTTCATGACTAATGGTGTCAAAGGCTTTTTTTAGATCAATAAATATACCTAAGGCAACTTGTTTTTGATCAATTTTATTTTTAATTTTGGTTACGAGGTCAATTGTGGCAGCGAGAGTATTTGATTGGGCTCTAAAGCCATATTGTTTTCGGTAAAAGAAACCTTTTGAATTAAGGAATGACTCTAATTGGTTATAAATAATCTTCTCAAAGACCTTAGAAAGCACTGGGAGAACTGATATAGGGCGATAATTGCACGGGTCAAGTTTACTTCCGGCTTTATGAATTGGTACAACTTTTGCAACCTTTAACTCGTTGGGAAAAATACCTCGTGCCAAATGATAGTTAATACAGACTGTTAGTTCCGTGGCAATAATGTATTTTACGCATTTAATTGATTTTGTACTAATACCATCAATGCCAGATGCAGTATTACAGTCCAAATTTTTAATTATGGTAATAACTTCTTTCGTAGTTACTGGTTTCAGAAATCGCAATTCTGTTCTATCAGTTAGACTACACTCTTCTAAAATTTGAGGTACTTTTGATTTTTTTGAAATCATATTTGCTAGGGTTGAGCCAATAGTCGAAAAATATGAGTTAAAACTTTCACATATTTCTTTTTTGTCCGTAATAGTACCAGTTGCCGTTTCAAGTTTGTCTGGTCCAGGTCTGTCATGCACTTTGTTTTTAGCTAAGTCGTTTATAAGTCTCCACATTTTTCGTGGTTTACTAGAATTTTCTTCAAACCTCTTCAGATAATATTCTCTTTTCGCTTTTCTTATATTGTGTGATACTCTAGCTTTTATATGTTCATACTCTGCTTTTAGTTTCGTGTCTACCGCATTTGTTTTATATTTTTGCCATAATATGTTCTTGCTATTTATCTCTTCTAATAGTTCTTTTTTAATCCAGTCTTGCCGCGGAGGATTCAATGTTTTAAATTTTGTGATTCTGCACTTATTTAAACAGGATTTCAGTTTCCCTGCCAATTCATCATACTCTACGTCTTCATGATTTTTAGGATATTCATTCAGGCATCGATAAAGTTTGCTGAAGTCAACTGCGTTGTATTGCTGTTTTATGATAGTTGGTGGTTGGTATTGCTTTATCTCTAAAAGTATTTGTTTGTGGTCAGACATTGAAGATTCCGTAGTGATATAATGAAAATTATTTTCACTTAAATTACAAGATACATGGTCTAACATTGTCTTGGATGAGGTTGTTTCGCGGGTACAGTGTTTTGGGCTTATTTTGTTCAAGATTTTGTAGTTGTTCTCTTTTAAGGTGTTCTTATTTTTGCGTGTCGTTAAGTCCGGGTTGAGTAAGTCCAGGTTGTAATCGCCAAAGACTATTGTTCGTTTCAATTTGTGTAATTGTTGTGAATATATCTCGAGAAAGTTATCCATATTTATTTTATTGGGCTTATAAATGGCACCGATATTTAGAGAGAATTTTTTCACGTATACCCAGAGATAATGAGTATCATCGACGCATTTTTCTTCAACAAGGTGATGTTTGAGATTGTTGTACACAAATATTGACACTCCACCTCCCCTTTTATTTTGTCTATAATTAAAGTAATGGGTATAGGAGGGTATCTGGAGCATTTTTGCCTCATCTTCACTCTTAATCCAAGTTTCCGTTAGTATAATGATATGTATGGTTACTTGTAAAGAAGCGATAATACATCTAAGCTCATCGAATTTTCCAGGTTTGACAATACTGCGAGAGTTGGCATAGAAAAATTTCAGAGATTTTTTTGTAAAAATAATATCCGTGTAATTGTTGGTTATTTGGTAAGTTATTTTTTCTTTGGACGTCATCAGTTTTTTGGAGTTTCCTTTGTTGTTGTTTCTTGCGTTTCCCTAGATGTAACTATTTTGGGGGTGCCCTTGATATATTTGATGTTAAGACCGCTTTCTCCATTTGAGGTACGTTGCTGTAGCTCTTCTTTTAAATTTTGAAGGTATTTCCGTTGGTATGGAGTTTGATCCGAATATATCTTGATATGTTCCTTGTCAATCTTATTCCTATTACGTAGTATGTTTTTTGCTGTGTCTTCAGATGGGAAACATACTTTTATTGCACGATTTTTCTCCGATTTATACTTTCCAAGACGAAATATTCTAGTAGGTTGAGGGCAAGCGTTATGAATCATTTCAGTAATTCGCAGTATTTCTGCCTTATCGTAATCTTGCCGACTTGTTGTAGTATAATTCCGGGATTCAGGAATTCCAGCAACTATGATATTTTTGGCTCGGAGGTTTCGTTCCTCGATTTCGGTGAAGATTTCATTTTGTGTGGCAGTTGTTTGGATAGAAGATGAAGGAGGCATATTTTTTAATATATAGACATCAGATTCAAGAAGCCTCACTTTCTTTTCTGTATTTTCGGCAGCAACAGATAATTTTGAGAGTTGGTCTTTAATTTTTTTATTTTCCAAGATAATATTTTGCATGGTACTGCTAATATTAGCGACGTCAGCTTTTATCGCAGCAACATTTACCGAGAGCTTATTTATACTTTCGGTTTGTTCACTTTTGGACGATTTTAATAAGTCTAGCATTTCAGACATCTGCCTTTTTATTTCAGCAATATCAGACTTGGTCACTTCATTATCGTCGGGTAATTTTCGTTTATTACGTAAAGTGATTTGCGATTTGGCTTCTTTATATGTGACTCAGACAAATTCGGAAAAGATCCGCTACGTCCCGCACACATGCCACCTCCAGGCGGTGAGCGTGGTAAGCTCATTGTAGATCTATGTACGAAATTACTCACGTGGGAGTTGCGTGTGCGCCGCCGTCAGGTTCGTACGGTGGGGAAATACAGCGGTAGATATTCCGTCCTTGTTACTCAAGGGGGTGAAGAGCGGTTACCGCTTCGATGACACTATATTTACTTTAAGCTCGCAAACTGTAACGGTGTATGTCACTCGCGCTCGATTTTGCAAGAAGTTGTTGTAGTTAGTCGCCGTAAGGTTCGTAATTGGTTAAAGAACTTTTTGAATTTATTTAAATGAATAGTAACACGTCTGCTCTGTGCGCTCGTTAGACAACTATATAATATAAATTCAAATATATCACCTTCTTTGACTCTCTCCCGCTCGGTGTTGAAGAGGAATGTACCAAAACGACACGAGTACAGATGATCGACGATTGTGATAAGGAGTCGTTCAGTGAATTCAAACGCAGTTGGGAATTGTTGCTGCAGTTGCCAAACACAGTCCACCCATTGAACGAAGACCGGTGAACGGTCTGCGTCCGAATGTCGTTCATCTCCGTGGCCTATACGCTGTAATATTCACGTAGTAACTATTACACAATACTTTATACTTACAAGAAGTTTTCAGTGAGAAATATTTGTTATACTGTAGGTATATTAGATAGAGAATGGATGAAACTGAGAACTGATTTATTAACTACGTAACTATACGTTGAAAAATGGGTACCCATATCTGAAAAACTGTAACGGTTTTGGTGAAACTTGGGCTCACGGAATATATTGAATCGAAACAGGCTCCAATCGAAATTTAACACGTGCTTGGAAGCCTAAATATTCACACATACAGGTCAAACACCACCAAACACACCATTAAAGTCGGTTAATTATTTTGGTAGAAAAAGGATCAAATCATTAAGTAGCTTAGGGAGCGTTCAAGTATTACGTCACGCAATTTTTGGAGATTATTTACCCCCAAATGTAAGGCGCCGTAACGTTTTTCTGTACCCAATAGTAAAACGTTTCGTGACAAAGTGACTCTTTATACCTAAAAGTTACCATTATGTGGGGTAAAGTACTCGAAAATAATATTAACAATAACACGTAATTCAATGCCCGCCCCGCATCGTGACGTTTTACAAAAGGAACCCCCCTCCCAAAATTCGTTACGTAATACTTGAACGCCCCCTTACATACGAAACGTATATCTCCGAGAATTAATTCTCTGGTGTTATAGTGAAAATTCAAAATACTGTGTTTTTTTTATTGAGTACCCCTCGTAAAAATAAGGACTAAAACATACCAGTTGGAATTTGTGGCCGAAGGACAACCACTCCTTTTCAATCAGGACTTGGAAGCCTCTCAGTGTGCGGTAAAACGGGTCAAGCATGAGCATCGCGAGGGCTGTCAACTGAGCAGTCCGGTCCCAGCCATCAGAACAATGGACCAGTACTGATGTTTTGTGGTTCTCCACCTACATACCAAATAATTTATAAAATCACATAGCACATATCTTCATATAAAATTTGAATGTCACTTAACGCTTTCTAGGTGACTGTTTAAGTAAGAATGATTTTGTTTGATCAACAAAAGTTTTACGGAACATGTTTAACCCTTGACGCAAAAGACTGAACCTAAATCACGTTTTTGCAGACGGACCGAGCGATGCCGTGATATATATATATATATATATATATATATATATATATACATATGTAAAAGTATAATATAAAAGTGCTTAACTTTTTGAAGTGAAACTTCTTTATCGACGTATGGGAGAAATTTTGTACAAAATCGTCATGTTTTTCGATTACGCGCCATGTTGCTTTTTTTAATCCAAGTTTTTATAGTGACGTAAAGAATATAATATAATATATGATAAAAATAACAACAATATATTAGTTTTGAAGTTTGGTTTACAATAAGAATAACAATATATTAATTTGAAAGTGATAAAAAACTTGAGAGGTGTCAAGGGACACCCAGATGGAACGAAGTTCCTTTCGATTAATTAGTGAAGGAATGTAATATTTTTTTTTAATTTATTGAAGTGAAACTTCTTTATCGAGGTTGGAAAAAAATTTAGTGTAACATTTTTTCGTTACGCGTCACGTTTTTCGGTTACGCGCCATGTTCCTTTTTGAAGTCAAACTTCTTTATCGGCGTTGGAAAAAAATTTACCGTCACATTATTTATTATTTATTGAAGTGAAACTTCTTTATCGAGGTTGGAAAAAAATTTAGTGTAACATTTTTTCGTTACGCGTCACATTTTTCGGTTACGCGCCATGTTGCTTTTTGAAGTCAAACTTCTTTATCGGCGTTGGAATGAAACTTCTTTATCGACGTATGGGAGAAATTTTGTAGCAAATCGTCACGTTTTTCAATGATAGTAATAATTCTATTACAATTAATGAAATTCTATAATAATCTTCAGTAAGTAATAAGGTAAAATGAAATATTTGTATTCATGTCTATGATAATAAAAGCCTTTTGTTAAACTTTATCTAATTTAACGAATTTCTGTAAAGTTGCATATAGTAGATCATTTTTCGAAAAATAAGATCATAAAGAAGTTTCACTTCTTACGTGTGTACACCTAGTACACGCACAATTTATTATTTATTATTCGACACATAATATTTTAATGACAATTAAATTCATTAAATTCCTAACATATCTTCCTGTTTCCGTCCATCTAAGTATCGGAAATCTAAACTTAGATTTGTATAAATATGAACAACACTTAAAGATTAGTTTACCCCAGAAGTTTCACTTCTGACATGTGTACTTTGTACACACACACTTTTTTATGTTATATGCTTTTTAAGTAATCAAAAATACATAGTAGAGGCGATTTTTTTAAACATATGAGACATCCAAATTAAATATGCACACCTTGTCAACAATCCGAACGGCTCCCGCCAGAATGCACTTTATATGCTTCAACCAACAAGTTGCCTCAATTCCACTGAACCATCTGAAAACAATGAATATGATTTTTCAATAAAAGACAAACTATTGACATTTGTCTGCCACCAATCTTCATGACGGCAAACAATAAATATGGTGGCACATAGAAAAATATGTTTATCCTGCTCACTCTTAAGGCATTTTGGCGTTTTATTAATTCGCACATAAAACAACAAGTTTATCCACTATCTGTCAATGTAAAACTACGAATATTTGAAAATGGAAACACTACTAACCTCGTCTGATCAATTTGTGGGAAGCACAATTCCTTCAACTTCCGCAAACTCTCTCTCATCACGTGTATATTGTGTATATCTAGAAACACCAATTCTGCGTTTTGATACGCGTCCTCGGATTCATATCTGAAAAAATTATGCAGTTCTTAAAATAATTCCCATTAACGAGAAATCTTTATAGAAAAATCAAACCAATCTTTTAATTGCTTCAAACTTTGTGTATGGCTATGATAAGGATAGTAGATATGATGTATTTACGATAAATATAATCGTAAATACATCATATATAATTATCTAAGATTATAGCCGTACTTCCGGTAATGAGTATGTATAGTTTTATATTTAACTAGCAGACCCGGCAAACCTCGTACCGCCTTAACATGACAGTGACGAAACCTATATACATTTTGTATTGAATTTTGTTTTCTTTTAATATATTTTCAACAATTTTCCAATGTTTTTAATACTTAGACAACAGATCAAAAACCATGAAAATTGGTCCAGCCATTCTCAAGTTCGAACAAACCCGACTTTGTTTTACAAATTCAGATTTTTATCGATTATTTATTAATATGCACTCCATGCTTATTTCATTTTCAATTAAAATAGTGACGGTATTAGTTCCTTCAAAGTTCTCATAAATTTAAAAAAAATAGATTTAATTGATAACTGTATTAGCTTACCCGCCTCCCTTAGCCTTATTAGCAATAGCATTAGCACTGGGCCGAGCATCCATGATGAACAGTTTATGAGCTTGAGCATTTGCATCCATTATAAGCTGGATATATCTTTCATCTTCACGGCTGCGTTTACCACTAACCTGAGGAAAATATACACTTTTGATTACATTATCACCCAGAACCCATTAGGAATTATTGCATAACTGATTTTAAAATTGAAAAACAGTAAACCCAGCCACACTCAGCCAATATGTGTCTATGTCCTATTGTAGCAATGTTCTATAATCTATGTTACTTAATTATAATGAAGCATTATATTGGCGATTTGACCCTTAATTCCAGGATGAATGAAATTTTAAAACTGGTTCAGTTAGGAATGAGGAAAAATCTCTGGCCTTTTAACCGACTTCAAAAAAAGGAGGAGGTTAACGATACAATGTCTAATTATTTTTCGTCAAACTAAAAGTGTACATACCCCCACTAAAGGCTGACTGCACCTTGTAATAGTGGCTTGTGAACTCGGATGTATCCAGGCTAATACTGGGATTCTGCCGCGAGATCGAAAAGCCGCAACAGAACGGAGCAGGTCATCGTTAGCGGCAGCCGGTACCGCCCATACCGATGGGTAGCTGTCACATATCTCATACTTGTCATTTATACGAGTTATGCGCCACATGTCATTATTGACACCCTGGAAGTTTTTAAAAACACTGTAAATTTAAGTTTTGTAAATTTGATAACAAAACCAAAAGTAAAGTAAGGTCATGTCAGAGAGCAATGGAGCGCAGTATGCTAAAATTAAAAAGGATACACAAAATCAGACACGAAACAATAAGAGAAAGAACTAGAGTTACAGATGCCTTAAAGCATGCACTGAAGCTAAAATGGAAATGGGCAGGACATATATCTCGCTTGAAAGATGATAGATGGACACTTACAGCTACTAAATGGCTAGGTCCAAGGGGAAAAAGGAGAGTTGGCAGACCTCAGAAACGCTGGGTCGATGACATTGTCCATGTTGCCGGAAAAGAATGGATGATCAGGGGTCAGGACTGAGAGGACTGGAAGCGGCTAGAGGAGGCCTATACCCAAGATAGGGATCCATACCTAGGAAAATAAAATATGGTACTAATAATACTAACATTTATTTCAATATTAAATTACTAAATAATATTACATATACTGTATTACTAACCACATTAACACAAAATTTTTAGTTTAGTTGTATTAGCATGTAATGTAAATGGTATGGAACGAAATAAAGGCTTTATTATTATTATTATTATTATAAATATCTCAAACCGGTTGACTGATTGATGGTTAATTGAATCAAGAATTCAATAAATTTATTTACACTTATAGAAAATACTCTTGTAAATGATTAAAACGCATATATCCATGAACTATTTATTCGCTAATTTATAAGGCAAATTTACAATTACATACTTTCCCTTTTTACGGTCAAACACATATTTCTGGAGCTAAAATAATAATATAGTAGTTTGTAAGCTAGTAATTCTTAGGATTTATATTTTAGTATTAAAGCTGCATCATATTATACTGATAGTTCAATTTACAGCAGGACAGTTACCATTTTGATATGAAAGACACAGAAATCTACTTAAATGGAAAAATTAATAAAACAGATTAAAATAAAACTTACTTAACCAAGTATTAATAAGTGATAATAAACAAGTATTAATTACAATATTTACATATCATACACATTTTCAAAGCTGTTGCCGACAAACAGACAACAAGAACGATGATGAGGAGAGGATGGACAGAACAGTTGGTGAGATGAGTGAGAGACAGACCTCTCAAAATCAATCAAAAAACTTCACACACTTACCATTCTCCTCAATTCCACAACAGGTTCATAAACTTGCCAGCCATCTTCTGCAAAACTTTCTAAATAACTAAATGCAAATAACGGCAATCTATGAGATAGTGGAAACGCCAGTTGTTGTAATTTCTCAAAAATACCACGTCTAGAATGATTTTCCTGTTTATGAGCAAAGCGTAAGTTTCTCATATCCTGAAATAAGACATGATGTAATAAGTATATTGACAGTTAATCTTCTAAAATACTCATTGGAAATTCCCATGTCCTTTTATTCGTAGTCCTAAAAGTTGCTTTAGGTTAAGGATGATCGAATAGCTCGGAAGTATTACAGACACAAAACTAAGTGCCTATGGCTTCTTGAAGGATATATGTTCATCACACACACTTTTTGTTATAATGTATGTAATTTATGCCATGTAGCCAGTACGCTCCAGGTTGAGCTCAATTTTTTTTTTAATGTGGCAAAAGGTCATTCCTGACGAAAGCACTGATTTTAAATACTTCATGTATTTTAACAGATAATAATGATAATCACTTGCAATTAAATATTAGTAAATGTCTAGCTGTATGGATATTTTTTCTGTTTTAAGTTATCCTTACTTATATGTAAATATTCTGATGTTAATAGTGATTTCTGTAATATATTTACAGCCTTTTATCCTCTACCTTAACCTTTAATTATCTATGCAAACACAATTAAAAGTACCAGCTGAGTGTTTTATAATAATAAAGTGGTTTATTGTTTACCTTGCAAAATACTTCAATTCCATAAGAGTTTTCCCCCTTAGATGAAGCTCCACCAACTTTTTCAATTCTGGAAACCTTATTTAAAATATTGATTTTTATAAATATAATATTTAAAACATTTAATGAAAAGAGTTAATTTAAGAGGTAATTTTTGAATAAAAATTAATACATAATTAAAAAAAATTTTAGGATAGTTATTTTCTATAGATATTATAAGGTTTTGGGTGACACTTTATTTTTGAGAATGGTATTTAAACTTACTTTATAAAATGAATACGCTATAATCATTTAACTGTGGTAAATAAATGTGTGCAGCTTAGATTCCAAGTAAATGTATAAATGACTATTACAGCACACAGGGATGAAATAAATAAAGAGACTTACCACACCCAAGGAAACACTCAGTGTACTTTGCAGAGGTGTAATGTCAGTTGGTCGAAAATGCAACTGGTAATTGGTTACTTTAAGAACACCTCTAGATGGTCCACTATATGGACAAAGATATGTAACATCCCGAGCAACTCCCATAACTTTTTCACCGTCTAGAAGCTGAATATCACCCAATACATGAGACTGTAAATAATACAAAGTAAGACAATTTTATGATGTTGTTTACTTAAAAATAAATTATATACATTGATACAAGCCTTTGAAAACTCCTGATAATCTTTTTGACTACGAATACGATTTACAAATAAACAAACATGCATAGATTTACTCATCTTGATGTTTGTTAAAGATAATAACTTGACAGGCTTGTAGACGTGTTAATAATAAGTACTTTGATCCTTAAATTTTAAAAACAGGATGTGCAGGAATAACGTAGGAATAAATTAAGCCTATTAGGAAACTTACGGATTCTTGTCCATGTTTAGAATTCAATGAACTAGATTTGGAGTCAGAATCTAATGAATCGGAACTTGCATTTTTGGACAATGAGAAATCTGAATTCAATAATTCTGAGCTGTTATGTTTATCCATTGCTGTTTCCTCAGTTAATTATTTTGCCAATGGTTGATAATCTTTTTATTAATCCTTTCTCAGTACAACAAATGTTTTAATTCTTATAATTATTTTGTAAACACAGTACGACAGTTGACTGTTGACATCTGTGATCTGACCGTTGACGGATAGCACAGTACGGTGTGACCAACGTCAAAAAAACATTTACCTGAAGTAAACTGTAGAAGGAAAGTTCAATTCAAGAAATCTAGCATTAACTGTAATCAATGATTCTTTATTACAATTCTACAAATTTTTACAATCAATGAATATTACTCGTTGAATTGAAACTTTATATTAACGTTTTATTTAAAAGAAATAGAACACCGTGTTAATTTTTTGGTCAATAATAAAAGAGATAAAAGATTTTTTAAAGTTTCTTATTCGGTATGGTCAAAGTTCCTAGTTTAGATTTGTCGAAAAAGATGAATATAAAGGTTAAAAACATAAAAACATAAACATAATAATATAAAAACATAAAGATTGATGTTTCAATGACTAAATCTACTGAAGAGAAATAGTTGTTATTAAATAATATTATTTTCTAAATTCCGTTTCATTAAAACAAGGCGTGAAATAGGTTTAAGGAGTGTTGTTATAGTTATACGACTTGTTTAATCAATAAGCATTATTGTTACAGTTAGACAACTTGATTAACATAATTTTTATGCAAGGAAAATGAAATTTTTCACAAATATAAACAAAAACACATATTTGGCGTATAAAAATAACGCGAACTTGGAATGTAACCGCATTTTAAAAGCAGAAGACTTTGAATGGGATTTAAAACACCCGAAATCCCTCGTTTTACTGTGTATTGAAAGCTTAAATAGAAATTGGAGTGGTAAGTAGATATATTTAGCAAAGCTCGGGAAAAGTGAGGAGTACCTATTTATCTAAGTCTTACCAAGGTAGACTAGGCATTAATTATTATTTAAAATATATTTGTTCATTTTTTAACACTTCATTGCACAATCTCTAATTAATATAAAACACGGACATAAATATAGACGCTTTGTCCCTAGTTAGCAATCGCTTCCAGGCAACCTAATATACTTTTTAATACTTTATATTTTAGGTTACCCAAAACTGGAAGAGTTGGTACAAAAGGATCGGGAATATTTTTTAGAAATATTGAACACCAATCTACCACTGCAGATTTTGGTAGACAATATAAAGAATGACATTTTTTGGAAAAGATGCTACTACTCAAAATGGTCGGATTACGTTGAAGCTATAGGCGACAAACCTTGGATTAATATTTTTATGGAGAGATACTGTGCCGATATTTTAGAGAGCATGAACCCCCGAGAGTATGACCCAGAGAAGGTAGCAATTCTATTTTGTATCTACGCTTTTATTATCATTGTTGACCTTGAATAAAAAATCTGAAACATGTTTTAACTTATTTTGAAATTGTCTCACTTAAATTATATTTTTGGTATGAAAACTAATAGATAAGTTAAGTTTTAAGGTTTAATATTTTTTCTAGGTTCAAGCATTAATAAAACTTTGTGGTCCATACATAGAGTCATTATCCATACGAAGTTTAATACCAGCCGATATAATTAGTCAAAGAATAACGTCTCCAGAAATGGCTGATTTGATAACAACTCAAAAACAAAATGAAAATAAACTTTATAAAACAAACGAAGAAGTGTCAAGAGGTGGGTGTATTGACATTCCTACTCTCCGTTTTAGTGTACGGTACTGAAAGTGAACGACGAAGGATGATCTCGGCACTATGAGATTTATTTGAGACATTAGGGTTGGTCCGAAATTCGAACACAATAATATTCTAATTCAAACATAATTCTCCAAACAATGTTTCAGAGAGGAGGAGGTTTCATTAGGTACTAACTTACTTATTATTAACCATATTTTAGATCACATATCCCTGCACGCTGCGTTAAGCAATTTACACAACTTAGTTGAACTACACATAACTTATCAGTTACGGTCCATTGGAGTTGAATATAGACGTGACCAATTTCAATTTACAAATAATGATGCCAAAAATTTAGCTAAAGGACTTCAAAACTGTAATTTACTTAAAGTTTTAAGGTAAGAATGCAAGAAACCCCATCATTTATTTGTTATTTCTGAAGTCAATTAAATTGTTCTAAGTTCTAATCCACTTACCTATTTGGTTTTTGAGGTAATTTAACGAATTTTTTAAATTTCTTACAGAATAACAAGAACGGATATGAATTGCCAAAGAGTAAAATATATACTCAGAGGATTACTATCAAACAGTATACATTTGGACACTTTAGACTTTAGTCATTGCAAAATTGGGAATGAGGGCGCAAGTCATATCGCCAAGTTTATGTCCAAACATGACAAATTACGAAACCTTATTTTGGCTGATAATGTTTTTGGTTCGTAGTTTCTGACAGCAACGTTGCTCTATTTTATAAACTATATGAATACTCTGTGACATTTAATAGCGGTCCATATGTTTTTGCATACAATTTCGATGTAGTTCTCTCAAGATCCGTAGCTAATCTTGTAACTTTGCGATCGCTTCGAACAAACACTCACTTTTGAGATTGGGATCACTGTTAGTATCACTATAGGAAGTTACCGAGTGAGGTTGAGATTCAGAATGAGACTTAGGGCGATTATGTCTTCTATATGTCAGATTCTTATACATTTTTAGAATCTGACAGAATCTAAAAATGTATTCTTATATAGTACGGACGTCAGACTTAGTGCTAATAGTGTTAAGTCTCGTTTCTGAATCTTACTCTAAGCGCCCAGGGCCTTTACGCATTTATCAATATATAAATAAATGCGTAAAGTATAACATACTTTTTTATTAATCAACTTCTAAAAACGCTAACCCGACAGTAATAATCCAACGTGTCATCTTGAGTACAATGGTAATTTAGGTAATATGCATATCAATCAGCAACTAGTGTGTTATTTATTTATTTATTTCGTAATCCTACAGCTAACATAAATTATATATAATATCAAACAGTTACACTGAAAATATAGCCAGAGATGGAATACATAATACATTTTACTACAAAAAGGTTCAAAAATTTACAAAATCAAACAAACAAAAGAAAAACAAACAAAATCTAAAAATTATCATTTTTTTTTCTGTTAGGTCCATCAGGTATTGAAATGATATCCCAAGTTCTAAATAATGCAAGTTGTGGCATACGAACATTGGATTTAAGGCTGAACAATAAATTAGGGTCTGATGGTATTGCACATGTTTCTGTATCTTTGGCTAGGGGATGTAATCTTACATCGTAAGTATCTTAATATAACCCTTTTAGTCAAGTCATATGGCGATATGTTGTGGTAATAAGGCTACTCTTGTTTAATTATATTTGACTTTTTCGCGTTAAACTACTTGTTCATTGTTCCCTTATTCAATAAATATATCACTCAAATTGCATCGTTTTAGCTAAAGACATCTCTCTCTTTTCATCAAAGTGTATACTCGATTTGAAAAAAATATATGAAAGAGTTTTTTTTTAGATTAAACATATCAGGATGTGGTATATCACCGATTCCTATACAAAAACCACCTGCTGGCGTCTGGTCAGCGATGAATGCAGCCAATCCTCCAACTTGTGGGGATTTATTGGCCCGTGCAATTGGATTGGTTAAAACACCATTAAGATCATTTGACATAAGCGTAAATAATATTGGATCGGTAATCTTTATTCACCATCATATTTACCGACTCGTCCCGGCTTACACCTAAACCTTCCTCATGAATAAATCTAGACATTGGACCGCAATAAATTCCGTGCCAAGTGCATTTTGAGTCTATCAGAAAAATACAGTTTTTTAAAATATGTACTTGTTTTTATATAATATAAATGTAAGGCTTTCGCAAATTTTTGTAGGTGTACTATTAAGTGCTAAATTTTTCTCTAGAATTGAATTATATATTATCTCTCATCGTTAAGGTAGCGTTTGTAATAAAAGTTTTTATTCGCCTGTTTTTCCTCCGACTACCACGAAAAAGACTTATTTTTAAAAAAATAATGTGGCTTTCTTTTGATAAAAGTATTTTAAAATCGGTTCAGAAGATTTAAAGATTTTCCACTAGAACCTCGCAAACTTGTAATATTAGCATAGGTATGATGCACTCAAGAAGTTTCTAATTATTACCTTTTGTTTTCTTTTTTACGTGTCCTATAAGTGGTTTTTGTTTTTATTGCGTGTTTGAAACTGAAAGTTGACAACCTTAATAATTTGTAGTGCTTAATTATGTTTTCGTTTTCAGCCTAGTGATATGACTTTATCAAACGCAATTTGTTTGAGCTATTTAATAGATATTAATCTTAAAAGATCTGGCATGAGCCCCGTAGCAATGTCTATTGCTGAATCAGCTTCCGCAGCTCAAAGATTAAGGCGTGAAGCAGAAAAGGGTATCCGATTTAGAAGAAGCGCTGGTAGGGTTGTTCAAGCTAGACGAGTTGTTAAAGGAATGAATATCGGTACGAAGTTAATGTTGGTGTTTACTAGTACACGTTCAATTTGAAAAATAATTAGTATATTTTCATGTACAATCACAGTAGTAATTAAAAGTAAAGTAACTGTTTGTAAGAATTCTTATTAATCTTTTAACAAACTTATTTAACACATTACTCTTGTAATTGATTTCTAGATCTTATATAGGTACTCTACATATACTTTAAGAATAAAATTGTTACAATTTTTTTACATTTATTGATGTAAGTAATACATAACATTCAAAAGCTCTATCATTCAGGTTTTTTTTTTTATTTTGCTTTTGAAAATATTTTTTTGTTGCTTAAACAATTGGTACCTACCTATATTTGTTAACAAACTTTGTTAAACTGTCTGCACGATGTTGGTATTTTACATATTTTCTTAAAGATGCTGATCCAGTTCTACTCGCGCAGCAGCTTTCGGCAAGGCCTTCAATAGTATCAGTTGCATCTGAAGATGGTTTTTACTATAACGTACAAACTGAACCACTGCCC